CTCACGGAGCAGAAGATCCCCCAGTGGTGGAAACACACGGGTCGCCAGCGCGACTCTCGTGGTCGGCGCAGCGGTTCCGCCGGCACCTTGGCGCAGCAGCTCTCGGAGCAGAGTAAACAGGACCGGTTCCCCTTCTGACCGAGGTTTGGAGCCCCGGGAAGGCAGAGTCGCCTACTACGGACACAAGAAGGAAGCCCGACAGGAGAATCCTGGGCGGAAAGCACCATCAGTTTTAACGCCGCTGCTCTGGCCCTGGGAACTAACAACCTGGACGTCCACTCAAGAGACCTAATCTGAAAGTTGGTAATTTCAAAGACGACAGGAGGATAAATTTACAATGACGGGAAGAAACCAGCGTAAAAAAGCTGAGAATACTCAAAGTCAGAATGCCTCTCCCTCTAAAGATGATCACAGTTCCACATCAACAATGGAACAAGGCTTGATGGAGAACGAGCGCCTCCTGATGACAGAATCACTCTTCAAGGAATGGATAATAACAAACTTCGGTGAGTTAAAAGAACATGTTGTAGCCCAACGTAAAGAAACTAGGAACTTTGACAAAAGGCTTGATGAAATCCTATTGAGAATAGACAACTTAGAGAGGAGTATGAGTGAATTAATGGAACTGAAGAATACAATACAGGAACTCCGAGAAGTATGCACAGGTTTAAACACTCGAATTGTTCAAGCAGAAGAAGGGATATCAGAGGTCAAAGTCCAACTTAATGAAATAAAACGTGAAGAAAAGATTAGAGAAAAAAGGATAAAAAGGAATGAGCAAAGTCTTCAAGAAATGTGGGACTATGTGAAAAGACCAAATTTACGTTTGATAGGTGTACCTGAATGCCACGGAGAGAATGAATCCAAGCTGGAAAATACACTTCAGGATATTATTCAGGAAAATTTTCCTAAACTAGCAAAGCAGGTCAACATTCAACCCCAGGTAATACAGAGAACACCACAAAGATATTCCTCAAGAAGAGCAACCCCAAGGCACATAATCGTTAGATTCACCAGGGTTGAAACGAAGGAGAGGATACTAAGGGCAGCCAGAGAGAAAGGTCGGATAACCCACAAAGGCAAGCCTATCAGACTTACAGCAGATCTCTCGGCAGAAACTCTACAGGCCAGAAGAGAGTGGGGGCCAATATTCAACATCCTCAAAGAACAGAACCTTCAGCCCAGAATTTCATATCCAGCCAAACTAAGCTTCACAACTGAAGGAAAAATAAAATCTTTTATGAACAAGCAAGAACTCAGAGATTTTATTACCACCAGGCCTGCTTTACAAGAGCTTCTGAAAGAAGCATTACACACAGAAAGAAACAACCAGTATTAGCCTTTCTAAAAATACACCAAAAAGTAAAGAGCACCAACATAAAGAAGAATTTACACCAACACATGGATAAAACAGCCAGTCAACATCAAATGGCAGTAACCCTAAATTTAAATTGACTAAATTCCCAATCAAAAGACACAGCCAAAACCCAACGGCATGTTACATCCAGACCTGTTTCGCATGCAAGGATACACAAAGACTCAAAACAAAGGGATGGAGAAAGATTTACCAACCAAATGGAGAGCAAAAATAAATAATAAATAAATAAAAAGCAGGAGTTGCAATTCTTGTATCGGATAAAATAGATTTTAAAGCAACAAAGATATAGTGGTAAAAGGATCAATGCAACAACAAGAGCTAATGATCCTAACACCCAGATAGGAGACTTAGATTCAATGAGACAGAAAATTAATAAGGATATCAAGGACTCGAACTCAGATCCAGAACAAGTAAACTTAATAAATATTTATAGAGCTCTCCACTTCAAATACACAAAATATACATTCTTGTCAATACCACATCACACCTACCCATTAGTTTAAATGAAACATTGATTGGCCATTATTAATACCCAATTTTTTTCAAAATAAAGCAATATTTCCATTTACTCTCCCTCTTTCTCTTCCTCTTTCTTCCTCTCCTTTACTTTTTTTTTTTTCTTTCCTTCTCAAAAAAAAAAAAAAAAAAAAAAAAAAAGAAGAACCAATGCCAGTTGTACCCAACTCTCCAAAAATTTGGACAGAAGGTAATACTCCAATCTCATCATATGAGGCCAGCATTACCCTGATACTAAAGCCAGACAAAAACATGACAAAAAGGGAATGAGAACACCACACGTCAATATCACTGATAAGCAGAGATGCAAAGATCATCAACAAAATACTAGCAAACCAAATGCAACAACACATTGACCTGATCAAGTGAAATTCATTCCAGGAATGCACAGGTGGCTCAATGTATCCAAATCAATAAACATCATACATCATGTTAGCAGAATCAAGAACAGAAACCATATTATTATTTCAATAGATGCCAAAGAAGCACTTGATAAAACTGAACATCACTTGATGACAAAAGCTCTCATCGAAATGGGTATAGAAAGAACATATAGAGGCCATGTATGTCAAACCCACAGTTAACACTATACCAAATGAGGAAAAAAACCTTTTTCTTTTGAGAAAGGCCTTTTCTGTAAGGGCTGGAGCAAGATAAGGATGCTTACTTTCACTACTTTTATTCAATATGACATGGGAAGTCCTGTTCACAACAAGTAGGCAAAAGAAAGAAATAAAAAGCATCCAAATTGGAAAGAGAAGTAAAATTAGTATAGTTTGTAGACAACATCATTTCACACCTAGAAAAAAAACTCAATGAAAACAGTTAAACTGATAAAAAGATTCAGTAAAGTTGCAGAATACAAAATAAACTACAGAAATCAACAAATAATATGAAAAAACAAGAAAGCAACCTCATATACTATGGCTACAACTATATAAAATACCTCAAAGCAATCATACAAAAAGATGGAAAGATCTGTATAAGAAAAACTATGAAACTCTTATGAAAGAAATAAAATACAAAAAATGGAAAGATATTTTATTCCTGTGGATTGGAATAACTAATGTTAAAATGCCAATACTGCCCAAAGCAATTTACAGATTCAGCCCAATTCCCATCAAAACACCAGTGGTATTCTTCACAGAAATTGAAAAAAAAAAATCCTAAAATTTATATGAAACCACAAAACATACCCAAATAACTAAAGTAATCATGAGCAAAAAAGTACAAATCTAGAATCATCACACTAACTGACTTCAAAGTTTACCACTATGCTATAGCAATCAAACAGCACAGTACTGGGATAACGGCAGACACATAGACCAATGGAATAAAATAGAGAACCCAAACATAAATCCACACATCTACAGCCAACTCAGCTTTGCAAAGATTACACAAACATTGAGGACAAGAAAATCTTTTAAGTATTTAAATATTGCTGAAAAAACTGGATAATTTTATGCAGAAAAGACTAGACCCCTATCTCTCACCATACACAAAAATCAAATAAAAATAAATTATAGACCTAAATCCAAAACTTGAAACTATAAAATTAAAAGAAGAAATAATTTAGAAAACGCTATAGGACATTAGTTTCCACAAAATTTTTTGTGTGTATAAAACCTCAAAATTACAGGCAACTAGGACAAAAAATAGACAAACTGAATTATATCAAGCTAAAAAGCTTCTGTACAGTAAACAATCCACAAAGTAAGGAGATACCTACAGAGGGGGAGAAAATATTTGCAAACCATTCATCTGTCCATGTATTAATAACCAGAATATATAAGGAGCTCAAACAACTCAGTAACCAAAACAAAATACTAAAAACAAAAACTAATAATCCCATTAAAAACTGGGCAGAAGACCTGAATACACATTTCTCATAAGAAAGCATAAAGATTGCAAACAGAAATAGGAACAAATGCTCAACTTCACTAATTATCAGAGAAATGAAAATCCAAACTACAATGAGCTATCATCTCATCCAATTTAAAAAGGGTTGTTTCAAAAGACAGGCAATAACAGATGCTGGCCAGGATGCAAAGAAAGGGGAACACTTCTACACCGTTGGTGGGAAGATAAATCAGTAGAGCCACTAAGGAGAACTCTATGGAATTTGCTAAAAATCCTCAAGTAGAACTACCACATAATTCATCTCACTACTGAATATACATCCAAAATAAAGGAAATCAGTATACAGAATATTTATTTGCACTCCCTTATTTATTGCAGCACTATTTCCAATAACCAAAACATGGAATCAGTTTAACTGCCCATTAGTGGATGACTGGATTAAGAAAATACGGCACATGTACACAAGAGAATATTACTCAGCCACAAAATAGAATGAAATCTTGTCATTTGCAGGAACACAGATGGAACGAGAGGCCTTTATATTAAGTGAAATAAGTCAGTCACAGAAAGACAAGTGCTCCCACTCCTATGTGGATGCTAGTAAAAGCAGATGTCATGAAGATAGAGAGTAGAATAGTGGTTTCCAGAGGCCAGGAAGGGTAGTGGGCATTGGGAGAAAATGAAGGGGATAAAAGAATATAAATGTGTTTATTATATGTGCATAAAACTCGTAAAGATAATAAATATCACATGTATCTTTTAACTAAGTAAAAATAAGACAATACTAACACAATCCACAAAACACTACACAATTAAAATTAATGTAATATTATTATAAAAATAAGTAACGTGAAAATAAGCACTAATGAGACTCATACTGAAGAAGGTATAAAACGAATACTGTCTTCATTTTTTGCTGCACAAGAGAAACAGCAGTCACTAGAAAAGTAGAGAGAGACCTCAGAGGTACCAGACGATAAGTACTGAGAAAAGCAAAAAAGTTATTTACTAAGTGACTAACACATCAATGTAGGAACTGGCTGAATTCTAATCCCAATAGTACATAGCAATACACAAAGCACCATTTAATAACCAGTAATAAAAGCAATGAAAATAATCCATTTGAAAGAACAACAAAAAAAAACTTTTCCAACTATGTAATCATTTCTTGCAAAAGGACAAATTAGCCATTTCAACATATTTTTTGTCAAAATTTAAAACTGTTTTATTAAAACGTATGTCTTACCTGATTCCTCAAAGTCACTGTTGTAGGCTTTCCAGGTTTCAGTTATTCGAAGAAGATTCTCTTCCATGGCTTGAATGTCCATGGAGGGGCAGTTGCATTCTGGAAATTTGGGACCACAGTGACACCAGCAGTCATTTTCCTTGCAGATAAACTCTCCTTCTGAATTGCAAGCAATGTAACTCAAAGCTGCTTGTACAAAACGTTCCTGAAGATAGTCTGGTAGAAGCACTTGAAGCCCTTGAAGAACAAACAAATCAAACAAGTTTACTTTTCTAATGAAAAAATTCAAATATGTATTTACAATATTCAATCAAAACAGTAAAAATTTTAGCATATTAAATTTTGAATTTTGTATTTTTAAACTATCAAAATAATATCTAAGTCTACATACTGCAAATATTTATAACTTTATCAATGTATGCTGACTTCATAAATATGGACCTTCAGAAACAGAGATGATTAATCATGGAGATGATTAACAACTCAGATTATTTGATATAATTTATCATAATAACTGGTTATTTTTTATAGAACATAGAACCTATCTTTCCAAACCTTTGAAAATACACATATGCATTTATTTTCTGCCAGTTAATTTCAAGTAGTTTTCAATATTATCGTTTTGCTTGCAGACTACCAGCCCACATCAATGTAAATATCATATAACGAGTTGTGCCATTGGTAAAATACATATTGAATGTTGATGGTAAGGCTTATCACATGCCATTAATAACATATAATATATATAATACAAAGAGTGAATACTAAAAATGACTAAAGGATTAGAAGGACTGATTATTTTCTTGCCATGTATAGACAGCCCTAGTGATATAGCTCATTAGTTTCTAGAAACATGTTCAGTAAAGTTGCTATCTCTTTAAAAACTATGCAAATTACTGTAAAATTAATATTTGGAGTTTTCTCAGGGAGTAACATTTGTTATGATATTTCAAAAAATCATTTTGATTTCAGTATTTCTGGCTACTTAAGAAAACTTAAATACTAAATATTTTAAAAAATAAGTAGGTAAAAATAAATACAAAGCTAAGGAAAAATCTGGTAATAACAAACTGTTACTTTCAAAAAAATTAAATTTTTATAATTTTACATGTTTTCTGTCTAACAAAAACATCTACTTTGACCCTTGACTACTATCTTAGAGGTCTATTTAATAAAATTCTTAGCTTAACATTTAGAAAAAAATTTAATTTACAAATATCTTGACAAATTGAAAATTTCCTTTGCAAATTGTTGGAAAAAACACTCTTAGGACATATATTCAATTTTCTATTAATTTTCATTTCACCTAGAATAAATATTTATTGACTATTCTAATTTTAAAGAAAATTGCTATGTAAGATACAAATATGAAGGTGACTGAGAAATATATTTGTCACAGAGTTATTTGCAGTATATTTAGGAAAAATAAAAGATGCAACTGCATAAGATACATGTGATTCAATAAATATAATCAATTGGCTAAGCAATTAGGGTCACAAAAATAAGAAAATATCTGTACATCTGTATGTATAGTCTGTGTACAGATAGACGTTTATGTGAATTATGAGTTTCTTAGTAATGACCTTCTTTTTCATAACTCTACTCTTCCAGTAGAAAAAGAATCATTCCTGAAATTACACACACACACACACACACTCACACACGTTTCCTCCTTCAAGTCATTATTTCATTCTACTACCCCTAAATATTTGTATTCAAATATATTTTTATTCATCAATGCCTTTTCTCAATCCTAGTCATACTTATCTTCTATAAAAGCAAGTATCTGGAAATGCATATATGTATACATATATTTCCTGAAAATCTAAATAATTATACAAAAGAGAAATGTTCCATATATAGCATAAATTATGCTATATATAAAATTTCTTGATAATAAAAATTTTAAAAAATATTTCTGACATAAATTATTATACCTACTGTATGTAATATGAAATTTAATAGAAGTACACTGATAAGTATGGAGAAATTTTTTTGAAGCAAATACCATCAGCTTCTTGAAAACACATGGCTTGAATGACTGAGTAGGACTTTTGTTGATTAGTTTATGCATGTTTTTTTCGCTAGAGTGACATTTCCTTCAGCATAAATTATTATCCATCTTCATTTATATAGATATATATGTAAGTACTAGAAAATGTCTTCCAATAAATTAGAAAATATGAAAAAAAATAGTTTCATGAAGCAGTATTATTCAATTTTTGCTATAAACCAAAAACAATTACGACCTATCATTAAAAATTACATTTAGTCACCCATCTGAAAATAGTTTAGTCCTGTGTCAAATGTATTGAAATAAAATATTAGAAACCAACTGATATGGAAAAGTGTTTGTAATTCAGTCCTACAAATCAATCATTTTCTTAAGGTCTTTGAATTTTACCAAAAAATTACTACCAAGACTTAATAAATAACTTTTCATTATTACAGTTATACTTTCACTCAGAGGCACCTTGTTTGATATGTTATGCTCATAAGAAGTTAAAGAAATTTGAAACATTATTATTTCAATATGTGTTTGCCAATAACTTCTTATAAAAACTTTTTATTACCTACCTTAAATATACTTTCATCAATAACTTAAGAGTTGTAGCTAGGGCTCTTTTAATTTTTGAAAAATGTCTGCTCTGTAATAGTCTCAGGAAAACCAGATCTAAGAGTCCTTCTTTTATATCTCTCATTTTTAAAGATACTAATTCCTATACTCATGGTTAAGTCGTAGCGTTTTGTTCTGAATTGGTCGTCTAATCCAGTTGACTCCAACAATTACTGATGCATGATTTGTTTGCTTAGATTCAATTCCACTTCAGGAACACTTCTTTTTCTACTGGAAGAGTGGAGTTTCAGAAGAAGGTCTTTACCGAAAAATTGTCATAATTTCAGAATTCTCTTAAGAATGTACCTGAATTCAGAATATTCCAAAATGGGTCAAACACTCTGATTCTAAAACTTCACCTGGTACTTAGAAACAAAACACAAAACATAAGCAACTATCTATATTTAATTATCTATCATCTATATCTCTATCCATCGATTCATTGGACCAAATATCTAACTAGCTAACTATGAAAGACATGAAGATCTCTGTTGATACCTTAATAAAAGATTCTTCAGTGATACTGCTATTGGCAATAGCCACATACGGTGACCCAGAAGTATTTATATCCTTCAAAGGAAGGCACCATGGTAACATTGATCCAGAATTGATAAATAGTTCACATTACTTTTTAAGGTAAGGTTGAAAAGGTGAACCAACATTATATTTGGATTGTAAATACCAATTAAATTTTAAAAAAGAGTGCATGAAATATCGAGGGTCTTGAAATTGACTTCCTAATATTATTTTCAGAAAGGACTTTATGCTCATCAGTGCATAAAGTTGTAATAGACAATTAAAAATATAGAACTGGAAAATGAAAAAAAGAGAAAGAGATGGAGGTTCCTGAGTTACTCGCATTAGTTGAAGAGCATAGAAATAATTATACAAAAGAGAAATGTTCCATCATTTATTCCATGTGTTAATTATTTTTCCAGACAGATAAAGAACTGAGGTTTTTAAAAATAATTTACTATTTTGAAAACTGAACACAGCAATTTAGACAAAAATCAAGATATCTAATATTATTTTTATATTATTTTTATTCTACATAATAAACTGAAATAGTCATACTAATTGGTATAAACATCTATTATCAGTTTTATCATAATTCATAATCTGATGGAAAGTTAATCCTTATATTAAAAAGGAGTAAGCTGTAGAGAATTGCAAGAAATACTGGTGGACAACATTTTTCTTTAGAGAAAATATTTTAATAAATGTAAATCTATAATTGATATGGATAAATTGAGTAACATTTAAACTGTTAAAATATTTAAGAACTTTGTACTTTCAATACAACTAAAAATAAATGGCATTCATTCACTATGTAGGATAAATTTAAACAATTCAATGCTGTTACATTTTTCTTTGAATTAATTAATTAATTCATTCATTAGTTAATTATTTATTTTTTAGAGACAGGGTCTCACTGTCACCCAGGCTGGAGTGACATGATGTGCAGTGTCTGGACAGTGATGTCCAGGCTGGAGTGACAGTGAAGTGCAGTGGTGTGGTCATAGCTCACTGCAACCTTGAACGCTTAGGTGCAGCAATCCTCCTGCCTCAGCCTCCTGAGTGGCTGGGACTGCGGGCCTGCAACACCAATGCCCAGCAAATATTTTTCCTTTTTGTATCTCACTATGTTGCCCAGGTTGTTCTTGAAGACCAAGCTTAAAAAATGAAAAAGAAATCACGACTGGATAATTGTCATCCAGGCTTATAAGACAATTAATGAAATTTCACCTACATACCTTGCAACTGAATCTTATTCTCAGGACTCTGAACCAGAACAGAACTGACAGAATCTAGGTTGTCATAGTTACTGCAGCCAAGAGGACCAGTCCGTGTTTCTGTTACCTGGCAAACAAAATATCAACTTTATTATCTAAATCAGACGTTACAATGTCCTTCTGTTTCAGTGTAGTTGTCACACACTAATATTATACATTTGACAGTAAATATCACTGAAAGGTCCAGGATCCCATACACACCAGCAATGCACACACCTAAACATAGTGGAGGGCAGTAACTCCCTTGAACTCATTTTCTTTCCTTTGGTTGGACATAAATATTCTAGGAAAATAATGCATGCCATCTTTTTTCAAAAGCATAACTCATAAAGTCACTGATTTCACCCAAGATATAACAAAGGACCTCTCTTTATGGAAGAGAGTGAGTTCTGACTTTTACGAGAATTGTTTGTGTTTGTTTTCACTCAATAAATCAGAGCCATCTGTCAGGCTACTCTCAGAACTGACTTTATTATTTTATTTTTCTCAAAAGTCTATAATTTTTCCTGTTTTTATGTTGGCAAGAAAGTCTAAACTCTCTGTCTGCCTTCTATCTGGCCTACTTCTTTCCAATACACCAGGTATCTCCCTGCTCAGCTTGACATTCTATGCCTTTGCTTATACAACATCCTACACTCCCACCCCACTCAGATTAGAAACCTCTCCTTTACAACTTTGACTAATCAGTTTTATCTGTCCTCAAAATTAGAACAAAGTATAAACATTTTGTAATGTTCACACATTTACATGAATATTCCTTGATGATTTCTGCCTGTGTTATTTACCATTTCTATCCTATTTTGCTTTGCAGCACACAGATTTCGTACTTAAATATATAATCTCATGTATGGACTAACTTTTTCATGGATTTCTTGGGATGGAGACTAAATTTAATGAATTATATGATGCTGAAAATGCATCCTTAAGATTTAATCCTGAAGATTTAAAACTATTTAAAGCAGAGCAGTGTTGTCAGAATCTTTGTTTTTTTAATAAGATACTCTTTCTTAATAATCAGACTGTTCTTTGCAGAACACAATTTAGATCATTTCATTCCACTGTTTACAATAATTTAATGGTTTCCAATTCTTACCCAGGGTATGACTTAGAGCCTTTTATAAACCCAGGAAGATGCCATATTACCCAGTTCCCTGTCACCTCCCTAGATCCATCTCTTATCTTGTTTATTCTGCCTTGCTGTATCTCAAATATACTTGGCATTCTGATGCCTTGGGGTATTTGACTTGTTGTTCTACTATCTGGAAATTTCTTCCTCAAAATGTTTCCTAGCTAACCCTTCACTTCCTTCAAATTTTTGCTCAAATCTCATTCTCTTGGGACTCCTTGGACTAACCTATTGAAATGAACATCCCTACCTCTTAAAACAATTTTTCCCTCCTTACCTTGTTCTACCTTTTTCACAGTAGTTATGAGCTTCTAACATGCTGTATAAGTTACTCATTTGTTATGATTACTGTTGACACCTCTCACTAGCATAAGAGCTCCACAAGTGCAGGAGATTTTGTCTATTTTGTTCACTCACATATCCACAGAACATATCAAGTTCTTGCGTCAGCCCAGGAGCATTGATGAAGAGAAAGAGGAGGAGGCAGCATAAGGAGAAACTTCCTAGCATGGAGCAGGAAAGACATTAAAGCCATTGTGGAGATGATGAAATCCTAACCAGTTACAATAAACTTTATCTGAAGAAGTTCATTTGTGAAAAACAAGACAAAACAAGGCCAGGAAATGGCAACATTATGAAACACTGAAAATGTTCATTGATAGAGAAAGGCCACTGAGGTTTCCAGCATTAGCGATAACATTAAAAATATGAAGCTAAGAAGCTCACTGTGAGTGCATGTTTAATTTGTGTCATGACAACTTTATTATATTTTTTCTAAATGATAAGTCCTTTATAGTAACCAAGATTGACTATGCATACATAGCAAGAGATGATAATGTGATTTATCATGGACAAAGCATTACTTTTTCCTTAACACCACAACTTTGAATTATTCTCCACTTACTATTCCCCACTGATGATACTGAATAGATCTCATTTTGTTTAGAGAAATAATTTATAGTGTTGATATGATAGATGATGTATGTATAATTAATATTTAAATATAAATTGGTAATAGCCTAAGGGCAAAGGGAAAAGCAAAAGCATTAAAGAGAATACTTAGGGTATAAGCTAATTTAAATTTTCATTTTATCCTATCATGTGGTCCTATTGACAACCAACATGTATCACACAAATATAAACACACACCCCTCCATGCCTTTTTTAGGAAGTTTTGTAGGTAAAATTGCCATTAAGCACATACTCATTGACATACGTGATCTTGGAAAAGGGAAGGCAAACTCCTGACACTTAACCCTTGAAAGAAGATAAATAATAATACCTCATTACAGAGAGTCTTACAGTCACCTACTCTGTTATTATGATTACATGTTGAAAAACTAAATAAGAGACATACATTTAGAGAATGTTTGAATATTTCTATCTTTGTATATTGCTTGACTTTCTCATCTTTCACAAAGACAGTAACCTCAGCATATCATATTTATATTTTTTCTCTATCCTTTACAACTGAATTCACTGGTTAAAGTCTGGTTTAATATAAATTTTGAAGCTCTAGCATGCTATATGAAATAAAGCTATTTTTCAATTCTTTCCACCTAAGGACTCTACAGGCTTTACTAATGTCAGCATTAGTAAATGTGTCCATAATTATTTTATTTTTTAAAATAATAAAGTGAATTAAATTGGAAAGAAAAAATAAAAGTCAACTTACTACAGAGATGATAACTGTGCCAAAACACAGAATAGCAGTTTACTTGTTTGTTCCAACCTATCATTCTTAATAATAAAAGGAACAAATTCCTATGCTGGAAATGTAAGCAATGAAATAAAGTACATAGCCAGAGGAACAACTGCCATTTTCTTCTACTTTACTATGTTTCCCCCATCCTTTTATCAGACATGAAAATGGTTGAGACTAGGAGCAACTGCTCTTCAAGACCATTCTTTATTGACAGCACCCAAGTATCATGGTCTTTACCTTTTCACAGTGTATATCTTATTACAGTAATTATTTTATTTATTTCCTAGTTACATTAGGTTATATCAGAGTAACTTGAAATAATTTTATCAGCCATCTATTATGAACATAAAACACTGGAATATTGGTAAGTACAATCGGCTTTTACAATAGAGTTATGCCCAAAGAGGCATAACCTAAGACTTTCCATCTGAAACCAATTTTCTCTTCCAGAGACCTACATCTCATCTAGATAACCACAAATAAATGTTAAAATTCAAGAGGAGATTTTGCTTATTCTATATTGTAGCAAGAAAACCACATCTGAAATGTCAGAAGTTGAAGTGGCAGAGTAGTGAAATTTGTTACTGGTACCTGCATCCTGAACTGCTATACCAGTTATTTCCTTTTACACATTTTGCCAATCTTTACCTTACATATACCCCATCATACAGTCCACTTCAGTTGTCACTCTCCTTTTCAAGAAATAAATGTTTCTATATTTTAATTATTCAAAACACTTTGGGTTGAGAAGGTAGAAACTATACTGCTGAACCTTACATATATATGGCTTGTATTGAATTTCTGATATCTTAAAATTTAAGAATTGATGCTATTTTTAGATAGAAATAAAGATATAATCTTACATAATTAGTTCAAAAAATTTATTCCCTGTACAATCTTTGTTTTTTAAAAATATCAATTAACATAGTTGCAATTTATATATGCAGCAAATGACTCATATCTAGAATATATAAATAAATTCTACAAACTAATAATATGGCAAGAGCAACACCGAAAAAAACATTTGACAAAAAATACATCTAAACATCCAGTAATTATGAAATAGCTTTCAACTTTATTGTCAAAGAGCTGGAAATTAAAACAGTGAGAAACTACTATCCATTCACCAGAAACTCTTGTAAGTATACAAACCCAGACAATGTTACATGGTGACAATAAAGTGGAGAAACTGGAATTCTCATATGCTGCGGGGAGTGTAAACTGGTACAATCACTTTAGAAAATTCTTTGAAAGTATGTACATAAGTAGACATAGGCACATTATACGAGCCAGATACACAGCCAACAAAAATGTGAACATGTGTGTGTACAAAAGGCATTTGCAAAGAGGTTCATTATCAACTATTCTTAGTAATCCCAAACAGAAAATATTACAGTGGTGCATTAGTCAATTTTTATTCTGCTATAAAGATGCTACCAGAGAATGGAGAACTTATAAAGGAAAGAAGTGTAATCGACTCACAGTTCCACATGGCTAGGGAGGCCTAAGACACATGGCGGAAGGGAGAAGGTGAAGGGAGCAAGGCACATCCTACATGGCAGCAGGTGAAAGAGAGTGAGGAAGTACCATTCTTTAAAACCATCAGCTCTCCTGAGAACTCACTATCATGAGAACAGTATAGGGGAAATTACCCCCATTATCCAATCACCTCCCACCAGGTCCATCTCGCAACACATGGGAATTCCAATTTAAGATGATATTTGGGTGAGGACACAGAACCAAATCATACCAAGTGGCAATCAGCAATAAAATGTGAAAGTATATAGAAGATTTGAATACTGTACTACAGTAAGAATAAATTTTTATATATTCTGTCCTCAAAATACAGAACAACATAAACAAATCTCACAAACATAATGTGGAATGACATTATAAAGTGTTCCAGTATTCTAACACTGTAAGTTTATTTTGCTAATTCTGAACTTCCATTAATATAAAACTCATTAATAGAAAAATTCTGAACTTCCATTAATATAAAAATATTAGGCAAAATAAATTTACATTGTTAGAATACAGAATGGAAGTTATCCTTTGGATATAGGAATGATGATAAAAGGGCATTAGGAGAAATGTTTTAGTAATGTCCTATTTTTTAATGCAGGCCATGATTGCTGAAATGTTTTCAAATTTCAACACTTTGTGTACTCTGTATAAATGTTATATGTAACTAACATTTGCTAATAGAAATTGGTTAATATTAGTTTTCCTTGTGAAT